GTGTATGCTGATAGCAAACTACTCTACACTAGCTAAATAAAAATACAATGATTTTTCTAACGGGTGCTCATGAGCACTCATTAGGGATGAAAGAGATAATGAGAAATAAATATTAAGTGGTTCTTTCCTTTCTTTATCTCTCTTATCCTCAAAGTGTATGCTGATAGCAAACTACTCTACACTAGCTAAATAAAAATACAATGATTTTTCTAACGGGTGCTCATGAGCACTCATTAGGGATGAAAGAGATAATGAGAAATAAATATTAAGTGGTTCTTTCCTTTCTTTATCTCTCTTATCCTCAAATGGATGCCCATGAACACGTGTTAAGAAAACCCAAAATATTGTCATATACATCTCGGTCTCTTCTTAAAGATCCTCCAAGTCATCCTCAATATGATCTATGATTGGGTCATGCGTGCCTCTTTTGTAACACTACTATTTATTTGAGAGCACTTTGATCTATTATGAGATATAAGAATGAGAAATATAATGTTTGTCAAAATGTATATAGCCTCATTATTAAAGATGCAACTATTTACATTACATTCAAATAAATTAACCGAGTGATCATGATAGTGGTTTTGTAACTTGATCTTACATTGCGAAAAGATGTTTTTCCAAGGGTGTTCATATCAAAATTGAGAATTATAATTTTATATTCTAATATGTTCTTACATGCATGTTGATAAAACTACTAAAAAGAAAAAGAAAAAGAAAAAAAAGAAACATTCTTACATGATAATATCAACATTCTTACATGATAATATCCATAAATTTGTTTCAAATGTTCATCTACTAAGATGTAAATATTGGTATCATTTTAAAATCATTTATACTGCACCAACATTCCGAAGTCATGAAAAAGTATCATTTTAGGAAAAATTGTGTCAATGCCCTAAATTTGAAAAACCAATGTGGTCCAGCCCTTATTATTATTTCTCGTGTAGAAGCCCTAAACACATGGATTTTTTGTGTTTCAGCCCTTTGCACACTGCCAACTAGTAGTGAGAGAAGACACTCAATAATATCCCGGAAATACTCCTATAGTCAGATCTCTCTCTCACTATTGTTTATGTCCCTGTTTTTTATTGACTCCTCTGAGCCTCCTGGGAAGAGAATCAAGCTCCTAGTTATGGAAACCTAGTCGTCATCTCCAACAGACGATCTTGCTAAATGTCCCACTTCATGAAGTGGCCGTTTGTGACCATTGAGGCTCACCCCACGGTGATCGAGCTAGAGGAGGTTGAGGAGGAGAAGGAGGGTGTTGGGCCATTGATGGATCCGATGATTTTTTTCGCTGATTTAGAGCTTGAGAATTTTTGATTGAGGGGTTTTTTGAGAATTTGATTGAGATTAGTTGTGATTAGGTTGAGGAGGAGGAGGGTTTTTTTTTTGAGAATTTGATTGAGGGTGTTGGGCCATTGATGGATCCGATGATTTCCTAATAACGACTGTGGGAACGTTGACGAAATTGGATGGGGGCGGTGATCAGGTTCTGTGTGGATGAAGATTAGGGTGGGTGGAGAATGAAAGGAGGGGTAAATTTGGGATTTGAGGGAAATACCGTATACAGAGTGTATAATGTTGATGTGGAGGGACTGAACCACATTTAATTTGGATTTTAAGGGTTGAGTCACATGGGCAAAAAATCTAAGGGCTGAGTCACATGGGGTTTTTAAATTTGGGGTCTTGGCGCAATTTTTACATGATTTTATACTCTTGTGTTCACTTTTTCTTTTAATTTTTTGATTGACTTGCAATAAAGACCAACCTTGCTCACAGTGTACTCAATGCCCAAAGTATTCACAGCAATTGACCAGGAAACCCACTATATTGATCCACACAGAACAAAAAAACTTCAGGGACCTTTCATCTCTAATTTATGTTTTGAATATTTGATCTTACTCATCCCTTCTAAGCTATACAAATAATATAATATAATGGTCATAATCATGTTGGTAGCGATTATAAAATGATAACACTTTGGTATCATGGTTGTTGATTAAGAAGTAAGTTGGATCCAATGGGGATTTAAACATAGTTTTCGTGGGATTATGATGTTGCTTGTGGACTAACCCAAATCATAACCTTTTTTCTCTCTTTTATTTATGTTCTTGCCCTCTTGAGCAACGTATTCTTCTTTATGTCTTGTTTAGGACTTAGCTATGAAGATAAAATCGGAAAGTACCATCTTAAGCCGCCATAACAGTTCTGGACAAATTTCACAAAAATAAAAAAAATAAAAAAATAAAAAAAATTACATTTGGTCATTTTTGAGACAACCCCCTAATTGTTTTAATTCCCCAAAAACCCCTTAATTTTAGAGGATTGGCACATAACCTCCCCAAGATCCCTCTGTTTCACTAAAACTCATTGAAGATCGTCCGCTTTAACTCTCTAGAATAACACTTACAAATCTAACCTGTCGCGTGCCAAACACAAATGAAAAAGGCGACATACCCTTAGTTCTAAAGAATTAGTGGAAATAATAAAAGATAAAGAGTGTTTTTTGAGGCTAGGGGTATTTTCTTATTTTTGGACATGTGTTTTGGTGCCACATTGGACTTGATGGCGTTACCTTGCGGTTAAAGTGAAAAATCTTCAATGGTTTAGAGGAAAAGAAGAAGTTCAAGGGGTTTATGTGCAAAACCTTACAAAGTTAAAGGGGTTTTTTTGAAATTAAAATAGATATGGGGTTATCTCAAAAACTGACAAACGTGCATGGTCTTTTGTGAAATTCACTCAAATTTTCTGCTATTTTAAATATCATACTCCCTTTAAAAGCACGAGTTCGGCAAAATTTTTCTATGGTCAGTATTATCCTTAGCTTTTTTGAATATTATATTGTTATCCTAATCTATTCTAATTTTAATCATATCT